GAATAATATGTGGTGAAGAATATTTACATATTAAAAAAAGGGTCCAAAGTGGGATTCGATCCCGGTTCATGGCTGTCGAGAATCGAGGGTGTTTACCCACTCGTCCACCGACTCTAAGATTTGAGATCTATTGTCAGGATTTCTAACATATATTTGATGTTAGGTTAAACGGATGTTTATTGTGCGACAGGTCAAACCTACATAAACAATGTTGTATTGTAGGTAGTTATCGGAGAGATTCGAACAAATGGTCATTTATTCAGTTCTTCAATGTAACCATTGAACTAAGAAATCATGTTATCATTGCTACCTCAAAACTGATTGGCTGGTTAAGGTCATGTGGTAATAAATGCAATTCAGATGCCTAATAAACCAGAAGACATCAAACCTGTTTCTTTCTCGAGGAAGCCGATGAAGAGCGGGAAGCTTCCTTCGGTGGAGAGGATGTCGTGGATTGTGTCCCGCCCTCAGAATGTCTGGGAATCGGCCTATGAGTGAAGACGTGTAGTGAACAGATTCAATCAAGTTGTAAGATGAACAATGAGCAGCAATCTTGCCAAATATTTTTTAAAATACTTGGTGATACAGTAGAATTTCTCTGTAAAGGACACCTAATTACAGAGCCAAAGTATCCTTTAGGGAGAGGTGTCCTCTTACCGGATAGTTGTTAAATAGTATAAATGATAATTTTACAAATAAAAACGGTCCTTTTTAGTGAGGTGTACTCTAGCGCGAGTATCCTCTCATGGGGGTCTGCTGTATTAAAATGGAAACTATTCGCAAGGTTCAATAGGATTTCTGGGACGATGCTCCGAACAACTCACGGATAAGGAAGTCGTCCAACCACTTCAAGGATGAACGTGAGTGAATAGCACTCAGGCAGACCTATGGTAAATCGAGAAAGTCATTGAGCAAATGCAGACTTTGGTCTCAGAAGATCATCACAGTCCAAGACCTTGCGACCGAGGTAAGCATTGACTGGTACATTTAATTTTGACTGATGATCTAAGTACAGTCGAACTTGGGTAATTCGAAGCCCAAGGGATAAAAAAAAAATCGAATTATCAAAAATTCGAATTAAAAACGTTTTGAATAAAAAGCTTAAGAGCTTAGGGACCAAGATTGACATACCAATATTATTTGCCGTTATTTTTAATGTCTTTGTATTACGTATAAAGTAATTCTCCAAGTAATAAGAAAAACATGAACTTTTGGGACAACCTTATGTTTAAAAACGTATGGGGCTATGTATAAAAGACAAATGTATATACGTAGAAAATAATTATATCAATATGAATTATCTAGAAAAAATCTTCTTTAAGCATCTATATATATAAAAATGAATGTATGTCTGTTTGTCCTTTATGCCTGACCAAACCACTCATTGGATCGCCATGAAACTTTGGGAAGTTATTTAGTATAGTACTGGGAAGGTTTCTAGCAAATAAAATTTTTGAAATAACTTTTCGCCTAGATATAATCAAGATAAATATTCTAATTTATCTGTTATAATTCAACAATCTGCTCTAAATATTATCATGATGATACAATGATTTTGTAATGTAGAAAATTAGGAAAGACAAAATTCAGGATGACACGGCAATTTATTTGAGACAAGAATAATGATACAATTCCAAGGCAAGATACTATTCCTTTAACTTCCAATTACGGAGGGAACCAATTAATAATGATTTTATTCAACTTATCGAGTATTTTTCAAGGGACCGGGAAAAAATGTTCACTTTATCGAGAGATTCGTTAGACAAACCTTTACACGGGTAAAATCCGGGCGAAGCCGGGAATATCCATTTCGTAGCTACACCGTCTCTCCAAGAGGCAGTCTCTTATTAAAGGTCTATTAGAGATTCTTTAATAGCAATTAGAATCTTCAATGAGAGACCACCAACAGGAGAAACAAGTTGATTCATGTTTTTAGGTGGTCTTTCTTAAGAGACTCTATTTACATATTTAAAATATGAAAAAATTAAAATATTTTGAAATTAAAATATTTTAAAATCAACATTTTCTTACTGTTACGTAATTCCAAGGCAAGATACTATTCCTTTAACTTCCAATTACGGAGGGAACCAATTAATAATGATTTTATTCAACTTATCGAGTATTTTTCAAGGGACCGGGAAAAAATGTTCACTTTATCGAGAGATTCGTTAGACAAACCTTTACTCGGGTAAAATCCGGGCGAAGCCGGGAATATCCATTTCGTAGCTACACCGTCTCTCCAAGAGGCAGTCTCTTATTAAAGGTCTATTAGAGATTCTTTAATAGCAATTAGAATCTTCAATGAGAGACCACCAACAGGAGAAACAAGTTGATTCATGTTTTTAGGTGGTCTTTCTTAAGAGACTCTATTTACATATTTAAAATATGAAAAAATTAAAATATTTTAAAATTAAAATATTTTAAAATCAACATTTTCTTACTGTTACGTTTAATTACTGTTAATATATATATATATAAAAATGAATGTATGTCTGTTTGTTTGTCCTTTATGCCTGACCAAACCACTCATTGGATCGCCATGAAACTTTGGGAAGTTATTTAGTATAGTACTGGGAAGGTTTCTAGCAAATAAAATTTTTGAAATAACTTTTCGCCTAGAAATAATCAAGATAATTATTCTAATTTATCTGTTATAATTCAACAATCTGCTCTAAATATTATCATGATGATACGATGATTTTGTAATGTAGAAAATTAGGAAAGACAAAATTCAGGATGACACGGCAATTTATTTGAGACAAGAATAATGATACAATTCAAAGGCAAGATACTATTCCTTTAACTTCCAATTACCGAGGGAACCAATTAATATTGATTTTATTCTACTTATCGAGTATTTTTTCAAGGGACCGGGAAAAAATGTTCACTTTATCGAGAGATTCGTTAAACAAACCTTTACTCGGGTAAAACCCGGGCGAAGCCGGGTACATCCATACAAGAATAATGATACAATTCCAAGGCAAGATACTATTCCTTTAACTTCCAATTACCGAGGGAACCAATTAATATTGATTTTATTCAACTTATCGAGTATTTTTCAAGGGACCGGGAAAAAATGTTCACTTTATCAAGATATTCGTTAAACAAACCTTTCCTCGGGTAAAACCCGGGCGAAGCCGGGTACATCCATACAAGAATAATGATACAATTCCAAGGCAAGATACTATTCCTTTAACTTCCAATTACCGAGGGAACCAATTAATATTGATTTTATTCAACTTATCGAGTATTTTTCAAGGGACCGGGAAAAAAATGTTCACTTTATCGAGAGATTCGTTAGACAAACTTTTACTCGGGTAAAACCCGGGCGAAGCCGGGCGGGTCCGCTAATTTTAGATAAATTTAATCTAATCCCCTTTAGATTTGCAGAAAATTGCAATTAAAAACTAATTAGGTGAAAATAATTTTAGAGAAATAAAAAACGAGCCTTACAAAAACAATTGTAAAAAAGCAAATATTCAGTTTTAGAAATAAATAAAGGACCTTTTTCAATATTTTTAAAGTTAAATTTTTCTAGGAAAATAAAGGGAGTTCTTGAATTTGATTTGGAATCCTCCAAAAAGGTTTAATAAATAACGATAAACACGAAAAAAAAATCAGTTAGTAATATAAATTTCTAGAAAGCTTATAAATAAAATGCCAAAAATTTGAAAAATATATTTTTATTCGTTTATTTCTTTTACATATATATAAATAAACTACAAGATTATATGAAGAGTTTGAATTAGGATATAAAAAAAGCAATAAACTTTGAAAGAGGACCAAACAAAAGTCAAATAAAGGTAAATTATATCAAAAGGTAAAAAAATAAAAATTTCAAATTCACCTGCTGTTATCATACATACGGTTAAAATAGGGTCTTAGTTCTCAGGGACGTTCTTCTTGGGCAGGAGAGTGGTATTGATGGAAGGGACAGCACCTCCTTGGGCGATGGTAACGCCTTTAAGAAGCCGTGAGAGTTCTTCGTCATTCTGGATGGCCAGCTGTAGATGGCGGGGGATGATCCGAGACTTCTTGTTATCTCTCGCAGCATTGGCAGCCAGCTCCTGGATCTCGGCTACCAGATACTCAATAGCTGCAGCTCGGTAGAACGGAGCCCCAGCACCGATACGGTAGGCATACTTGCCTCGGGGTAGCATGCAGTGGATACGTCCCACGGGCAGCTGCAGTCCAGCCTGGCTTGAACGGGATTTCTTGGTGGCAGTGGTGATGTGTTTAGCTCCCTTCATTGTAAGTTGGTAAGATAATGTTGCAACTGCTGAGCCAAGAGGATACTGTTGAAGTGACTGTATAATATGATGATTTTTTACATTAAAAAGCAGAGTAACAAAGTTCTCTCTCTATGAATCCTTCCTTATATATATAAAAATGAAATGCGAAATCGATGTTTGTTATCGCATCACGCAAAATCTACTGACTCAATCATTATGGAATTTCGCATGTAGGTAGCTGAAGATTTCGTTTAACATATAGGCTATTCAAAAAACTAAAAAAGTTAATGTGCTTTTTTTAAAAAATAAAAAACCATAAAGCGTTAGTTCCAGTCTTTTACCGCTAGGGCGCAGCACTGGTCGCGACTATAAATGAATTTGATTTTTTTAAAGCATCGGTGGTTCAGTGGTAGAATGCTCGCCTGCCACGCGGGCGGCCAGGGTTCGATTCCCGGCCGATGCATTTTTTTAAAACAATTTTTAAAACTCATTTATATTATCCTTCCTTCCTTCCTTATCCTTATATATATAAAAATGAAATGCGAAATCGATGTTTGTTATCGCATCACGCAAAATCTACTGACTCAATCATTATGGAATTTCGCATGTAGGTAGCTGAAGATTTCGTTTAACATATAGGCTATTCAAAAAACTAAAAAAGTTAATGTGTTTTTTTTTTAAATAAAAAACCAAAAAGCGTTAGTTCCAGTCTTTTACCGCTAGGGCGCAGCACTGGTCGCGACGATAAATGAATTTGATTTTTTTAAAGCATCGGTGGTTCAGTGGTAGAATGCTCGCCTGCCACGCGGGCGGCCAGGGGTTCTTTTTTTATGCGGTTGATGCGTTCCAGGGGAATCCGCATAAAAAAAATCGCACAAAAAAGACATACATTTATATGTAAAATGATGGATACGTTCCATTTATTAAAAAAATCGCATAAAACCTAAATAATGTTTTAAAATGCACCAGAAATCGCATAAAAAAAGATTTATAAATAATAAGATTTAATTTTTTTCTCATCATATTTTAATAAATGGCACATATGTGTGTTAATAACAAAAACAAAACTTAATATGTAAAAAAAAAAACATAAACAAAACTTTATTTAAAATCATATTAAGAATGTTTTCATCATTATTCGCTGTCTGATAATGTGCGAACCCGTTTGTGGATTGGTGCAAGATCACTTTCATCACTTGAAGATAAAATTACGTCATCAGATCTACATGGTAATGCTTCTTTAGGAACTTCAGTGATTTTTTTTTCTTTGACAAGGTAGTCAGTAATCAAACGCTGTGATGGCTTGACTAGTTCTTTGTAGAGTTCTCTGTAGCCAGACATAAAAATTTTCAGATCACGTTAGAATTTTAAGGCGCGTTCTACATCATTATCATTTTGAATAAAAAAGTTTTCCAATTTACCGGAAAGTTGAAGGCCTTCCCGAAGTAATTTTTCGTCCAGTGGAGTAACATCTTCCAGTTCGCTATCTACTGTTTCGAAATCTTTAGTAGTATCTACCATACTTTCCAAAATATCATCATCATTTAGAGCTTCGTCCACAAGCAATTCTTCTATATCATGCTCGCCAAAATCATCAAAACCTTCCCCACCTATTTCCTTAGCAATTGAAATAATATCTGATGTTACTATTGTTGTTCTATTTGATTCATTTCTCTTTGATACGCATTCAGGCCAAGCAGCTTTCCAACATGCATTTAAAGTTTGTGATTTTATCTCGGCAATTGCTAACGCAACATGATCTACACAGTTCAAGATATTAAATTGTTTCCAAACTTCAGTAACTGTTATTGTATCGGATTCCAGTTTATCGAAAATGAATTGGAAAGTGAATTTTACATAATATTTTTTAAATGTTGAAATAATTCCCTGATCTAATGGTTGAATTAGGCTCGTTGTGTTTGGAGGAAAAAAAACTACCTTTATATTTGGATGTTCTAAGTTTGGATGACCTGGTGCATTGTCAAGAATTAATAAGATCTTAAATTCGAGACCCATCTCTTTCATATAATTTTCTACTTCGGGTACGAAGCATTTATTGAACCATTCAGTGAAAATAGCCGTTGTTACCCAGGCCTTCTTGTTTGCCATCCAATGTACGGGCAGTGTATTTAAGTCTTTTCCCTTTAATGCACGTGGTTTTAAAGATCGATTTACAAGCAGCGGTTTTAACATTCGATCGCCAGATGCATTGCTGCACAGCAATAAAGTAACTCGATCTTTAGCAGCTTTAAAACCACTGGCATTTTTTTCGGACTTTGCAATGTAAGTACGGGTTGGCATTTTTTTTTCCAAAACAATCCTGTTTCATCAGCATTGAAGATTTGATGTGGGCACAATATCCTCCATCTTTAATAATTTTAGCCAACTTTTCAGGATATTTTCTAGCAGCTTCTTCATCTGCAGAAGCCACCTCACCTTTTATTTTTAGATTATGAAAAGAATGTCTTTTTATAAAACCAGTTAACCACCCTGTGCTGGCAGAGAATTGTGGATTACTTTCACGTGAAGATGTAGATGGCTCTGATTCTTTTAACTCCTTGTAAAATTTAAGGGCTTTCATCTTGATTAAATGTCCATCTAACGGAATTCTTTTTTGAGTTAAATCTTCAATCCAAATTACGAGAGCCTTTTCTGTTTTTCTATTAAAGTGCCTCTTGAATATGATGAAATTTTAGAACTCAAATTTGTACCAGATCTGACTGATCTTCTTATTGCCGCTTCATTTTTTTTATTGCTCTATTAGTAGATTCGCCTAAATTATAACGTTTACCTATTGCTGTTGATCTTTCTCCTTTCGCCAAGCAATCGAGAATTATAATTTTGGTTTCTGGCGAAATTGCACTTCTTTTTTGTTTATTATTGTCACACATTTTCTTTAAGAGGAGTAAAAATTATAGAAAAAACTTAATGTACAATTACGCACTAAAATTATTCAAAAAAACTTACAATTCACTTGAGTAAATTTATCTTCCGGTTTTCGGTAGTAACCTTCTTTCACAAAGTTTTATTTTCTAATGCTTTCCAATATGCAGGCTTTTTTAATTAGTTTCATACAAAAACAAAATGCAGCATAAAAACGCAATTTTAACGAGGTATTTTTGTTTTTGTCTCTTTTGTTTTTAAGAACAAATCAAGAGAAAACATGTCAATAAAAGAAAAAAGAAATTTGTAACGGCAGCTGGCACGCCGGCGGGTTTTCAGTTTTGATTTCGGTTTTGCACGAGTTGTGTAAGACACCGGCAGGCGCGGAATAAAAGACATTGGAACTTCCCCTCTACTGTTTGTTGGATAACTTAACATACAACCAGGACGTTACAAAATTCTTTCTTTGTATTGATTGCGTAATAGTAGAGTTGTAGTTGTTATTCTTATTCATTTTCAGAAAAAGTGAATCACCAAAAAAAAAAATTTTCGAAATTCGAATAAATTTTTTTTCTTGCACCGCATAACTCCAAAACCGCATAAAAAAAAACCGCATAAAAAGAGAACGAAGTGTATATTATATCTATCTATCTATCTATATATATAAAAATGAATGTTTGTATGTTTGTCTGTTGGTTGGTCTGTATGTCCGGTATACAAATTCGCAGTAGTTCACTAATTCAAACCAAGATTTCCATACATAGGTAAAAAAAGACGAGGACGACAATAGGCTATTTTAAAAAATATATAAATCAATTATTAAAACTATATATTCAAATTATTCTAAATAGCTCACGAGCAGCGCCCTCTAGAACGCGGTGGATCTGATGGCGGGGCGCGCCCATTGGCCGCCTGCGAGCACGTGGCTTCCCTGTGCGCGCGCATGCGCCGGGAAGCCACTTGCTCGCCGGCAGCCGACGGGAGCAGTCACTTGCTCGCCGGGAGTCAACGGGCGCAGACATTTACTCGCTGGCAGCCAAAGGGCACATGTTTAATGTGTTTGAATAATACATTTAATCATGTAAACCCGGGCGTTGCCCGGGTCATTCATCTAGTCTTCTATATAAATGGAAATTTCATAAGTGGTGTTCGCTAAAAACTTTCGTTACAATGCATCAATTTCGACCAAATTTCCAACATTTATGTAAAACGAGATGGAGCAGGTTTTGCTTAACATCAAAATATTTTTCCTAACTTTAAAATACATAACTTTGCTGTTATCGATAAAATACAAAAAAAATTCAACAGAGTTAATTTTATTTATATATAAATACAAAAAAAAAAATTCAGCAATTCATTCAACTCAATCTAAAAAAATATTCAAAACAAGCAATTTTAAGATAACACCATATGTAAAACAGTCGGCCAAGAAAACAACAACGATATTACATCTTTCTCACATATTCACACACAATCTTGATTAATAATTAAAACTAATCTTTAGCATTGTTTATTATACTTCATAATATATAATATTCGTTAGGCAAACTTTCACTCGGATAAAACCCGGGCGAAGCCGGGTACACATCCGCTAGTCTATATATATAAAATAGAATGTCTGTCTGTTTGTTTGTACTCTATAGATTCAAAACCCATACATCCAATCGCCGTGAAATTTTGGGATATTATTAGGTATATCACCGGAAGGTTTTTGAAAAATAATTTCATGAATATCTTGAATATCCTTAGAGTTACTTGCAGATTTGTAGATTTAACTCGCAAGCAGCGCCCCCATTGTGACAATGTTAACAAGTTTTCTTATCAATAAGTTTGTTATCTTAAATATTATTTATCAAAAGTAAAATTATCTCAGGATGACACGGCAATGTGACACGGGAAAAAATGTTCACTAGATAAAACTATGATTTTCTATATGATATAAAAAGCCAACAATGAAGAGTGAATCTACTTATATATTTGCCTTATTCTGTCTGTTTGTCTGATGCTCACGGATGGGATTTTTCATAACCATCGGTGGTTCAGTGGTAGAATGCTCGCCTGCCACGCGGGCGGCCCGGGTTCGATTCCCGGCCGATGCATTTTTTTTTTTTTTTTACAAATTTTAAAACTCATTTATATATTATACAAGAATGACATCCACGGCGCCAATTTATAATTGTAACGAATAGTATTTGAATAAAAGCATTTAATCGGGTAAAACCCGGGCGTTGCCCGGGTCATTCGTATCTACTTATATATTTGCCTTATTCTGTCTGTTTGTTTGTCTGAAGCTCATGGATGGGAATTTTCATAACCATCGGTGGTTCAGTGGTAGAATGCTAGCCTGCCACGCAGGCGGCCCGGGTTCGATTCCCGGCCGATGCATTTTTTTTTTTTTTTTACAATTTTTAAAACTCATTTATATATTATACAAGAATGACATCCACGGCGCCAATTTATAATTGTAACGAATAGTATTTGAATAAAAGCATTTATTCGGGTAAAACCAGGGCGTTGCCCGGGTCATTCGTATATAATAATTGTATAAACGAATGCAAGACAAAATCACCGCGAATGTTTCTTTTTTTTAAGGCAATTTCTTTTTAAGGCAATTATCGTTATTTATCGTTAATTTTTGTTTCGATTTTATTGAAAAAAAAACGATATGGTGCCTTTAAAAAATGATCTTTATTACTATGCAGTTTTCTATTTAGTCAATATACCTAAGTTCATGTTGCAAATGTAATTACCTCTATCGATTTAGTAGGTGAAATGCAAAAAAAAAAAAAATCGACATGATGAAATCTTTATGAAAATTCACATTTTTATTTTTATATTTTCAAGACACACACAGTTTGGGGCGGGACGTTTCACAAGAGAGACATCCACGGCGCAAATTTATAATTGTAACGAATAGTATTTTAATTAAAACATTTTAAAAACACAGTTTGGAATGGGACG